CAACAGGTACCATTCATTTCTTACTTCTTTCTGCCTCTCAAAATACTTTTTTGCTGTTAAAATAAAGTGCTTATTAAAAATAATAATAATTTATAAAAAATAGTTAATATGCTCAAAAAGCTTACAGAGGCAATCAGGCAAAAGTCAAAATTCTAAAAATAATTTTACTCCCCATGACAAAAAGACATTTAAAATATCTTTAGTAACAACACTGTCGCCTGTAGCACTGCCAACAGTTCACTTTCCTGCCGGTTACTTAGAAGCAAGCTGATGGCGGTTTTGACTCCTGTTATGTCATATACGTGTGTATCAGTCTACCATCGAAGTGATTCAACTGACTGTGAAGGGGCTAGATTTCCTGCCGGTTGGATTTAAGAAATACGCATAAGAAGCTGCTCAAACACCACGCAAAACTCACTCATAGCAAGAATAGGAACTAAATTAACAGACTTTAAATATTTTTAAATTTTAATTTAACCAGCTCCCTCATTTCACTCTTTAAGAGAGACTATGGCATTCGTCTATGACTCCGATGCATCAAGAAATTTTTCAAAAAATTTACAAACATAGTGCGAGCTCAGGTGTCGGTGACATCCAGTACAAGTAGTGGTACACCACAACAGCGTAAAACGTCAACACGTTGGTCAACTGTGAAAACAACGCAGAAATGTTCGGTATCCAGGCAAACACAAAACGAAGCGCCAAACAACCACCACTGCATGGTAGTCATTTTGAATTATTATTGTTATTATTATTGTCACTATTTTTGTTGTTATTACCTTTATTATTATTATTATTATTATTATTATTATTATTGCTGTTTCTATAGCTTCTGTCCACTGTACTGCTTCTCTAATTTTGCCTTTTACTTTTCAATATGACATTCAGTAAGCTTTCCATTATATGTACGGCATCGATTATCCGAAAGAAGTTGTCACCTCTCTGTTATGTAGCTACACATGGACTTTTATCACGGCAGGCCCTTTTTGTCCTCAGCTAGTTGCATCTCGTTGTTATTAGCTTTATCATTTTTGTCTATTTCTATTTTGCGAAAAAGTGAGGAAGGAAATGAATACGAAGTCGCATGCACTGGTCTGTTTACAAACCTTCTTCTTACCCAGAAAAATGGTACTTCAAAGTGCCTTACTGCCACATGGATTACTAATTCTTTGCTTCGCTAAGGAACGATATTTTATCTCTTTTCCCC